GGGCAGTGTCTGCAGCCGGCAAAGGGGTGCCACTGCCCTTGCCACCCCCTAGGCCCCGGTCCTGGGATGCGGCAGTGCAGGGTGGTGGGTGGCAACACTCTGTCCCTGCCTGCCCGCGTGTACCTCTTAGGGCCTTCCCACGTACCCCCGGTTGACAACCCCTGCTCTAGATTTGCTTGGCTTGATGCTTTCCCTCTAAAGCATCTGTTCCTGCCACAGCATACTAGGCTGGATGGATCATTGGTCTGACCAGCATTTCAGCTGCTTTAGTTTTGTAAGATAATTTTTCCAGTCCTCTAATTATTCTTAAAACTGTCTTAACACCTTATTAAGTTTCTCTCTCAGTGCATGGACACCACCACTTGAGACGCAATTTCAGAAATGGTTTAAAAATGCTACATGCAGAGTGACTGCCCCTTTGCTGTTCTTGTGCAGTATTTACTTGGTTAAGCATCCAGTGATATTGCCTGTTATGATCCACGTCTTGTTGAGAGAGATTCAAAGATAGCATCGCCTCTCCAGGCCCACTTTAAGGTCTTCTAGTAATGTAACTAAGCATCATATTGATCTTTCTGACTCCTGCATTGGGAGCTCTTGTTTAGTAAGTTACCTTTCATAACTTGTAAAATATTTTCAGTGACTGTTTGAAATGGTAGTTCAACATATGATACTGGTGATGTGTACTGTAAAGGGTATAGATGGAAGTTGGGGGAGTGGGGAGGGTGAGAGGAATTGGGAGGTTATTGTTGGCTCTTGTTTTTGGCAGTGGCTGGACATCTGACATTTTGTTTTGAGACTTATGGTCTTGTCTCTCACTTTTATCTTCATGGTTATGGATTATATGATTTAGAAATAGCCTCCAGTGTTCTTGTCCCTCCAAATGCTGAGGCAATGCCATCAGGTGTTCATATGTTCTGCATTTGCATTTCGCCTGTGCCTAGCTTTTATAGCTGTGAAGGGAACAATGGCTTTGCAAGCCCTGGGTCTGTGTGGGGGGAGGGGTAGAAGGGGGAAAAGGAAAGAAGGGCAGCAAAATACTGGTATTATGTGGTGTGTTTGATTGTAGGAAAAGTGCATTTCCAATTGTTATCTTTCACACTTTCTTGATTTGTTTTGATTTGGTGTTTGGATTCAGTAGCATTTATACCTTAAAGCGCTTTTATTTTTAAAACCTGAAAACCCAGCATTCTGAACATTAGTGAAAAAAGCATAATTTTTTCATATAAAATGTTAACATGGAAGTTTTGTCCACTTAGTTAATTAAGTATTTTAATTATTCTTCACTAAAGCAAATTCTTGCTCTTCATCATGGGTAACTAAATTTGCCTAAAATAAATTCTGTAGTTTTTAGCTAGGTGTATTGTCTTAATTTAATGTTGCTCTCTGTTTATTAAACAGTGCTCTTGTTTTACTGCAGAGGTAGCTGCATGTCAGTAGTGAATGAAATAATGGTATATTGTTTATGATGATTGTCAAAAGCTTTGGATCCTTAATGAAGAAAGGTGCTTAAACACAAAGGGTGCTATTTAAGCCACATATATGGGGGTAGCTGTTACTTATTAGATGCACCTTGGTTCTCAAAACTAGAGGTATACTGATACATTGTTCTCATATTGGATTGGCACTGATTTAATAAAGAAAATTGACTGTATTGGAAATTGACCTGATGTGGCTGATAATTTGGACAATAAATGCCTGTGAGTGCATGTAGCTGCGGTGCAGCACGCAGGCAGTGAAGAGCACAGTCCAGCAGCTTGGAGAACTGCGTGCGGCTGGTAAGTCTGTAGTGAAAGGGGAGGGGAAAGGAAGTTGGAGGGGGAGATCAATGCTCTCTGCAGTGAGGGAGGGAGTGGGGCTGGGGTAGGCGTAGGCATTGCCCAACTGGGGTAGGGCAGGCATGGGATGGAGCCATAGCTTGTCTGGGGGGTGGGAAGTGGCTCCTGGCACTGTGTGCTACTTGTTTGGCCACTCCTGCCGTTGCTCCTGCTGCTTGTCCAAGAGGCCACATGAGGGGGAGCACACCCCTGGATCTGCGTGGGGCAGGGTGGGCTGCAGCTGTGGGCTTGGGTTGGGGGCTGTGCTGTGCTACTTTTGGGGTGGGCAGTGGTGGTGCTGGGAGAGGGTTATGGGGGGGCTAGAGCAAAATTTGGGGTGGCTGAAGCCCTCCCCTGTAGCCCCCTTCCCAGCACAGCTGCTGCTTGCCTCAAGTGCAATGCTGCAGCCTGCCTGGCCCTCCTGGACAACCAGTTGGAGTAACCTGCTCCCCCCCCCCC